CTTTCAGAGAACGCCTACAATCTTATATTTCAAAAGATCTCTTTTATTGCTGTATGTATCCCCATTGTGGAGATTCTTCCCTCTATTTGTACTGGTGACTATTGTCACTGAGAAAGAATAGGAAGGGAAATCCAGCATTTTAGAGTTGTCCCCAGAACAAGAGGTGAGGAGAAATCTTTCAGTGCAAACACCTGTCTAAGAGGGGAATTCCCCCACGTTGGGGGATTTCCACTAACTTCCTATTGTACCTCTGGGACAAGAAGTGAAGGGAAATGTCCCCAATGGTACACAGACAGCAAAACAATAACCCGGCAGGGATTTTCAACCCTTCCCTACTCAGAACTAAAAATGTTTTGGCTTTGGCTCATTTTCTCAATGTAAACTGTGCAAAACATTCCATATCTGCAGGTTAATGTTCACTCATGAAAGATTTTTCACAAAAAATTACAGTTGACTGAGACAGTCAGCCCAGCTACTCTTTTTTCTTTTTGAAGTTGATAAATATTTGGGACAACTCTAGTAGTATGTTCTTTTTCACCTGGGCTTCTTCTTAGTGGATGTGCGTCATAAATGTCTTTTCTCCAGGGCTTTTGCTTGGAGGTATGGTGTGCTGGAGCTTTTTTTTCCTGGCCTTAGGTTCAGCAGGGCATGTGCTGGATTTCTTTTTTGCTAAAACTCTACCCAGCAGGACAGTGTGTTGGAGCTCTTTTCTCCCTTGGGCATAGGCATTTAATAGTAGAGATGCCCTGAGCACAGAGACAACTTTATATTTGTAATCCACTTGAACCAACAGGGAAGCACCTGCAGCTGCCCACATAGAAAAACAAAGAGGTGAATTAACTGATAAGGAGAAGCAGACACTTGAACCTTCTAGCTGATCTACAATCAAAGATTAAACATTCAAGCAGACGCCAGAACCTTAAAGGTGGCCATACACTTTACAACCATCGCAAGACCTTAGTCTTGCGATGGTTGTAAAGTAATAAAAAAAACGTACGATCTGCCCATCTTGGACAGGCAGATCGTACTTGCGATCATCGCAAGCCTGCCCCGCTGAGGGGCAGTGTGCGCGGTACACACACCGGCCCGTTCAGCATTTGTCTCCCGAGCATGCCACAAACCAGCCGAAATCGTAAGATTTTCGGCTGGTTTTCGAACATGCTCCTTAGAAAAAGACGTGTGACCGTACAGTACAAACGTTCGCACGCCTGCCATACACTTTGCGATTATCGTACCATCGCGGGATTTCCCACGATAATCGTGCGATAATCGCACAGTGTATGGGCACCTTTAAAGGTGCCCACACACCTTGCGATAATCGTACGACAATCGCGGGAAATCAAAATCAAATCAAATCAATCAAAATCAAATTTTACATTTCTTATGTTTTTGCATGTGTGAAAGTAAAAATGTAAATGGTTGTTATGGTAACATAGTTCTGTCAGATACTTTCATACAGGATGACCAGTGTTTCATGCAGAGGTGCATTTTATGTTTGGTTCTACTTGTGTTGGAACATACTAAGGCTTCCTTCACACTTGCCACTCGCACTTTTGTCCTCTATATGCAAAGGAAAGTCTGAAAGGCTAGATGCTGTGTTTATGCTTCTAGGTGATTTAAATGGCGCGTTTAAATGTATTTACATGCATATGCGTTTTGGATGCATCTGGTACCAAATCCTTGCATCAAAACACATTTACTTGCGTTTATATTAGGGATGCACCGATGGCGTTTTTTCGGTATCGAGTATGAGTACCGATACTGAGCACCGGTGCCTTGTGCCCTGATTATCAGGAAGCCCCCTGATTGCCTGTGAAGCCAGTGTTCTAGTGAAAGAACACCGGCTTAAGAGGCTACCTGGCTTCCTGGCCAATCAGGAAGCCAGACAAGGAGTCATGAGGTGCCGTCTGCCTCCCTGATTGGTCAGGAAGCCAGACTGCTTAGCAACTTGTGAAGCCGGCTTCCTAGCCAATCAGGAAGCCGGGCGGCACGTCATGATCTGGCTACTGGCTTCCTGATTGGCTACGAAGCCGGCTACACTTATTCCTAGGCAGCCTGGCTTCCTGACCAATCAGGAAGCCGGGTGGTGGGTCATTACGTACCGCCCGGCTTCCTGATTGGTTAGGAAGCCAGGCTGCTTAGCAACATGTTAAGCTGGCTTCCTGATTGAAAAGGAAGCCTACTCCATGCCCTCTCCTCACTGCCGGTCAGAGGGAGATCTTCCTCTGACCGGAAGTTCCGGTATCGGAGGCAAGCATTGGAGCATTTGGGCGAGTATGAGTACTTGCCCAAATACTCGGCATCGGCCACCACATCCTTAGTTTATATGCGCTATGTTGCATTTAGAAGTTCAAATCAATTCCTAGATGCATCTGACTTCTATTCTTTGAAAACACTGATAAACTGACTGCAGATAAAAGCATCTAGACGCAAGGTGTGAATATACTCATTGGATTTTCTAAGATGCATATATATGCATTTACAAAAGCTTTTAAAATGCATATAAAAGCATCTAATCACACAAATAATGTGAATGAAGCCGTATGCTATGATTAACTATACTGGTTATTTCTTTATGGCTCACCTGTACTGTTTGTTGCAACAAAGGTAGGGTTGGCATAAGGCAAGATCAGAGTGGAGTGCATTGTTACTTTGATGGGTAAGCATTTTTAGCCATGGACATGGTATATATGTAGGAGGGCAGGGCACATCATTCATTTTGGGCAGGCAATGCATCCTATGCCTGCCCATAATGCCAGCTCTGATTTAGGCATTGCTGTAATTAATTTGCTTACACCACTCACATGATGTATTGGATGTCACAAACATGACAATTCTCAGCTGGCATTTAAGGGGTTTGCCAAATTTGAAACAGAACAAAATTCACTGAAGGGCATAAGAATCACAAGAATCACTCGCTCTCATGATTGCCGACAATCTCCATAAATTTTGTAAACTAAACATGAGATTGTAGTCCATCATGGGAGTGAGCTTGGAGCGGTGACTACTTTACAACACACACCGGGACCATGTGGAACAAAAGTAGTCACCCTCCAGAAGGAAGGACAGTGTCAGCACCAATTCAGAGATGATTTGAGGATCTACAGCCGAGTAATACACAAATAAGCTACTTTTTTGTTATTAGTTAGGGTACTTAAATGCATTTTTAAGATGTGCATAGGTTGGTATAACAAACTGTCAAGAGTTTTAGAACACTGTGTGACACATGTGCCTGCCACAGCTAGTGAGTCTCATTATGCAATAGAAAAAACATTCTGCCAATTCTAGTGACAGCTTGGGCTAAGGCAGGTCAGGACTCAGAAAAGAGCCACAGACTCCAGCTTCTTCTGGCATTTTTATTTAATACCCCTTCTATTTGTGACAGATAAAGACACCCATGTGCACATACCCTACATCTTGAAGATAAAACACTTTGTCACCAGCAAATAAAGAGTTTCTTTACTGTCATGGCCAGTCTTTCAAATTGTCTGCCAAAAGAGGTGCTGATGGCAATATGGGTGTTTTATTTGCATCTTCAACTGTACTAAACAGTTTTTTAGAGAGATGATCAGTGACACAGCACCTTTCCCTAATTCTGATACCAAAGGTTGTTTGGAAAACCACCTTTAACCCTTCCCACCACTCTTATAAGTCACTATGGATGCCAAATTGTTCAGATGCCCCTTCTCTATTAGAACACTGCCATGCATGAATCTGGTTCTAGTGATTGGAAGTGTACTCTGTGATTGACAGCTGTGTCAGCCAATGAGAGGGAGGGCAGCAGTGCAAATCTGGCCACAAGAAGTTTGCATTTGCCCTGGAGGTTAGAAGATGCCAGAAACGTTAATTGGCCATTCTGTCTGTGCACCTAGTAACTTATTACAATGATGGGGAGAGTCTATGAATAATAATAGAGAGGCTATATGGCCTCCAGGAGAAAAAGCAGCAATTATGACCTGTGCAGCTCCTTGTTTATATACCACGAGCCTAGGACAATAATTCAGGGAGTTATCATGATTGCTGTTGAAATAAAAAATTATTTGTTCCCCTCTCTAAAGATAATCTGGCTCCTGCCTCACTAGAATATGTATTTTGCCTTCTCCTGAATCATCTGAATTGGAATTAACAGAATTAATTACATTCTGTCTTTCATTTAACCTTTCTATATTATAGCATGCTTTACAAAAAAAAAATCTAGACTAGGACAGTTGAACAATTGAATTTTAGGTACGAAAAAAAGGATCAGTTTTGAGTGTTTCTGACATCTGAAAAGATTTCTGCTTGAGAGAGCTTACAATCTCTCGCTAAACCATCCTCTTGCAAGCTTTTCCCTAACACGCTTTTAGACAGGTCATGTCATGATTTGTCTCTATCAGTAACACGCTCAGATTGACAACCACACTTCAACACCTATCAAGCGCTCTCTTGGATCGATCAGCACAAGACTTCATTACCCCCCCGGTGGGGAAGTGTGACAAAACTCAGAATTGGTGCAAGCGATAATGACATTAGCCTGGAATAACCCAAAGTGACGGAGCAAGACCCAGGTGTAGATCAGCTAGCTGCATGCATGTTAAGCAGAGAGGCAGCTGCTGTGGCTCCGGTAGCAGCCGATTGGCTAGTAGCAGAAGACCGTTCTTCCAAGCAGGCTCACAAAGCTTAAGCTGTGAATAGAGAAACATCAAGCTCTGAATCAGCCAGCTGCTAATAGAGGAGCTTATCAAGTATCGCTCCTGCATACAGCCTCTCCTACCAAGACCATTATGAACATCTTACTTAGACAACTTTTTACATCTTCTATACCAAGGATCACCCCCAAGGATGTGAGGACCAAAGCATCTTTCAAGTAGTTCCTGTGTAGAAAAGCTGCAGGTTAAGGGGCTCCACATTTAAAGGGCATCTCTACTTTAAAAAGAAATCAGACCATCTTAGAGAGCTTGCACTTTTCCTCTACAGTAGGCAAGTGAGAGGCTGAAAAGCAATCAACTAACAAACTGAATTAACACTTTCACTGAAGAGTTCCACAGCCCTGCCTGGACGAGTTCAAGAATTGTACATCTGAAAATGTCTGACCAAGAGATTGAGGACTTTGATGTGGACAATATGTCGGACAGTTCTCGAATGATCCCAAGCCTCCCTCCATACAATATGGATGACCAGCTCCTGCCCATGGAGTCCCGGAGCAGGTGGGGTTGCTGGATTTGGACAGCGTTCGTCTCTGGGGCTAACTTTTTTGCATTTTTAGTTAACTCCCTGGTCTTGGCGATCATATTCACCATTGTCTTGACTCCAACTATCGTGGTGGTCTATTTTGGATTTAAATGCCACTCAAGGGTAAGTACATGACGATATCTCTCCCTGTGACTTGCACCGATAGAAACTCTATATCTACACAGAGTATATAGTATATTGTGGCAGGGCTGAAAAGTGTTGAACATAATGGAGCAATCTGCAACCATAAGAGTTAAAATCTGATATGAATACCACTTCAAAAGGTTGTCTTATGAGTGTTCTGTTCATTCCAGCTCTGTGAAGTATAATTTTCCTAGCTGTGCACCTTTTTATCTCCCTACTCTAGAATTCCCAGGAGTGCACTGGGTACGAAAGAAAGAGTTTGCTTCACAATACAACTGATTTTGGTGCAGTTCTGGGATAATCTATCTCTGAATATGAATAATTGCCAGAGAAATATAGGAGATCACTGCTTGAAAAGCAGAAAAGCAATGAAACATTTCAGCGAATGCTCCACTGTTCTGAGCTAGTTCTGTAAGGATAAACTGGATCCATGGTATGTAAGAAATGGGGTGCTTGTCTGACAGGCACTGAACAGTCAATGTGCAAGTTGGGCAATCAAGATTAATTTTAAAAACATAATCATATGCATTTGAAGTGCTGTATACATCATGACCTGAACACATGCAAGTAATAAGTTTAGAGAGACAAACTTGTAAATAGGGAGAGGATGGGAGGAAGACAGATAGATAGATAGATAGATAGATAGATAGATAGATAGATAGATAGATAGATACACGTACTAATAAATACTCTATATTTAAAAGACTGCTACAATGTGTCACAATCTTTCAGGGTACAAATGACTTAACTAGAGGTCATTATACTGTAATCCTCTACAACACATTTAGTAAACATCATCCTATAGCATACTGCTAGGGCTTATTTGACAATATTATTTAATAACAGTGCCAAGAATCTTCTGATCAAAGAAAACCTAATTCTTACTGATTGCTAAGGCTAATGTGTGTTTTTCTCATCTCTCTTTGTGCTATTAAAAAAAAGTAATGGCATTTTTATGGTAATGTAAAACAGATAAACAGTATTCCGTTTGCACGCTGCTTCCTTTTTCACCATGGACAAACCATGGGGCATAAGGAGTTAATGCATATAAGGCAGGAAGATCATTGCGATGTGTGCTTTGATATCATGATGGATGTAAGGAGTCAGCTTCGATCACTCAAACCTGTGTATGTGGCTTGTACTGTAACTGGAGATATCTGCTACGACACCAAGCTGGCAGTGATGAATGGTTCTATACCATGAATGGAAAGCAATAAAGCACATGGCTTGTTCAAAGCTTGTCTACACTTTTGGGAGTGGTTGGTAAGAGGCTACTGGTCTAGGCAAGCCATTTTTTCAGTGTTCTGTTCTGTGGCTCTCACTAGTAAAGGGCGAGTCTACATGTGTTAGATTTGCTTAGGGTTTGTCAAATCTTGTTCACAGTTCAGTGAGCCTGAACTTAGAAGTGAATCTCGTTGAAGTCTATAGAGCAGGAGATCTTGTTGTAAAATTCTGGAAATTTTTAGGGCTAATAGGCAAACTAATGCCAAAAACAAGTCATGGGAAGCTGGGCATTGCCAAGCAGGACATCTGCAAATGTAAAAAAATGTTACAGAGAGGGTATTTTCATGAAGCTTTTTCAAGAACAGTGTATAAAATTACAAATCTTTTATACACCATGCTTGAGTGATGCATTAAAGCTGTACCTAAAAAACAACCCACCTAATATACCCCTAGCAAGTAATCAGGATTGAATCACTTTGATGTGTAGTTTGTCAGCTTTCCTTACAACAGATTCCAATTCAGTAACACTATGGCTGCTCTCTTCCCTCCTTTTATAGTGTGTATGCAGGGAGTGGAGGGGGCGGTGGACGTGGGCTGCTTTAACCAAAAGCCCCCTTATTGGCTCTGCTAAGTCTAGTGGCCATAATTTAAAGGCCATGGAGTGCATTCTAATTAAAAATCTGCACACAAATCTCGAACCTCCAGGATTCGTCTTGAACCCGTTGTAGTGGAAAACCTGAACCTCATCCCTATTCTTTACTAACAAACCATCTTTCTCTCTTTCTTTCTCATCTCTTTCTCATCTCTTAATATTTTCTATCATCATCAAATATTCTTTCTTTTTTTCTTTCTTTTTTTCTTTCTTTCTTTCTTTCCAGATCTCTCTCTATTAGCCTAAACTATTTCAGAACCATGGATAGCAAGAATGCTGATTTAAGAATGACTATACTTTTTTTTACAAAGCAAGCCTTAACCAGTTGACATCCGCGGTGTTAAACCCCCTTCCCATTCAGGCCATTTTTCAGTATTCAGCGCTGCGGTACTTTGACTGACATTTATTCCGTCATGCAACGCTGTACTGAAATGAATTTTATACCCTTTTTTGGGGACAGATAGAGCTTTCTTTTGGTGGTATTTATTCACCACTGGGGTTTTAATTTTTTTACTATATTAAGGAAAAATTACCGAAATTTTATTTAAAAAAACAGTTTCCCCTATATTAAATGATAAAACATTTATTATTACCCAATTTTTTGGTAAAATATAAAAGACGGGGTCACGTCGGGTAAAAAGACACCAAACATGTCAAGTTTTAAAATTGCGTGCGCACACGAAACCTCAAAAAACGATAATACCCAAAATTGGCCATAGGCGACGCTTTAAAAGCTGTTACCGCTCATCAGTTTAGTGTTATCAGTGATTGATGGCCCTAAAATGATTGCTCTCACTGCGACGTTCGCGGCGATATGTAACATGTGTAGCGCAATTGTAATTTTTGCGCGCTGGGGCACCGGACGCGTATTTACGTTTATAGGCGCGTAAACGTGGGGGTGGGGGAGTTAAACATTTTGGGG